GGCGAGTAAGTGGCAGAGGAATCCCTGAGGATTCATTCCTCGACCCTCCTATATCCTTCTCTCTCTCTTTCTCTTCCCTCTTTCCCTCTTACCTTTAATCCATCAATCCATTTATCATCAATCAATGAAATTCTTGATCGGCTTTCCTTAAGTAGTATCAATTGTTCATTCAAATTATCCATTCTATATGTTTAGAAAATATTCTCATTATTTATTCATAATCTTTCGAAAAATTTTAGTAAAAAGAAAATCATTGATCATCCCAATAAACAAATTTTATTAACAATTCAAACACAAAACAAGTCAAAAACAATCCATTTTTGGAATTTTTCAAAAAATATTGTTGGTCGTAAAAACGTGGGGAGGCTGATGGGATGGGATGGGGGGTCCTTTAAGTCCAGAAAACACGACCCTCTCTCTCCTAAGGTTGGTCCTCCGCCCAGAGGTAGAAAAATCCACCCCTTTTTCAGGCGGTCGATAACAGGACAAGCAGCCAGGCACAGCAGCAGCATAGCATACCATGGCATATACCATGGTATGGCATATAACAGCGAAGTCTTTCTTCCATCTTCCACTACCTCCTTCTCTTACTCCTTTTTCCTCCTCCCTTTTTTTTCCTCTCTTTCTCTCTCTCTCTCTCTCTCTCTTACGACGACGTCTTTTCTGTCTCTCACCCTTTTTGGTGTATGTGTGTGTGTGTGTGTGTGTTGCCACAGCTTTTACCCAAGACTCTATTTCACTTTTGGTTGCCTAGCTTTCTTGCTTTTAGGACAAAACTTTCCTTCCTCCGCCCTTTTTCAGCCAAGAAGGTGGCGCCACTTTGATGGTGCCACAAAACACCACCCTTATATAATATACGCCTATATACCTATATATGTATAAATTATACGATGTAGTACCATCATGACGATGGAAAAGAAAAAAGCAAATCAAAAACATCTAAGAAAAAGACAGATATATTAACAAATAAGAAATAATTGAAAGAGAGAGAGAGAGAGAGAGGAGAAGGAGTAAGGGCAGAAAAAAAAGTAAAGATTTTCAATTAAAAGAATTAATAACCAATGTGTGACAATCAATGAGATTACTTAGGTTAGCAAAGGTTGGTACATAAGTTTTAGGTACTACACCTATGCAACCTTAAGGTTTACTCTGCGCTCGCTCGCGCGCGTGCGTGCGTCATAGGACGAACCTGGAGGCGGTGGCTATGGTGAAAAAGGACGACGATTATTACAAAAGAGTAGGAGGAAAACATGTGGGGGTAGAAAAGGGAATAGGTTATAACTATATATTACATTTAATATATAATATTTATTTGATTCCTTTGCTTAGAACTTTTATACTAGTACATACGTATACTTCTAATATACGTATGGTATAATAATTTGAAAATAAATATATAAGGAATAAAAAGAAGTAAGAAAGAATTAAGTTAAATTTTCATCGATAAAATATATCCAAAAAAAACCCTCGCACTCCCTCCCCCCAACAAAAAGAAATAAGAACAAATAACAGAGACAAAAAAGATTAACGATTAACATTTGCATTCATACGCAATAAATAATTAAGATTTCTTGAATTACGAACGTCCAATTAGGTAAGAAAAAAAGATACAGGCGCATGTACCAATCGAAATACTATACTAAAAAAAGAGAGTGAGGGAGAGAGAGGGGGGGGGAGAATGATATCAAAATGGATGGATACATAGGTCAAAAAGTTCACACGAAAGAGAAGCTTTGGATGCCGATAATCGAAAGATTCAGGAATGGAGTTGACGAGAGTTTGGAGCCGCGCAATGAATAAAGATCGCCAAAGAGGAAAAGAGATAGAAAGAAAAAGAAAAAGAAGAAAGAAGAAAAGAAAAAAAATTCGAAAAAGAAGGGGAGAACGTGGTATATAGCAGTCGCCATTACGGTGTCGGCAATCGGCTCGGCACAAAGTGGAAATAATTAGCGTTGGACCAAGTGATAAGCTCTAATCTAAGAGTTTGTCATTAGCCTATCAAACGAATATTATTACCTCTCTTTCTCTCGCACATATAGCCTATCTTTATCTCTCTCGTTTATTTTAACATATCTCTCCTTCTCTCTCTCTCTCTCTCTCTCACATTTCTATCTTTTCATGTCTTTTTTCATGTATTTATTTTTCTCTCTCGTATATA